CATAATTATAAGTCTATCTTTCGTCATATACATGTACGTCCTTTTTTCCTAACATTCCAATCTATAATTTGGTATTTTTCATTATTTACCGTTTTTTCGCTCACCAATTTTGTATATCTAAACAGAGAGTAATAATTTACATGTATACTATACATTCCTGAAATGTACTTCAAATATTTTCTTTATCATACATCTAATTATCCGTCTAATTGTTATTTTAACAAAATTGTTTCCATGCCGTTATTCTTGCTGTATGTTTAGTCATGCAAAACTCGATAAAACTTATACAAAATCTCTTCACAGTTTTCTCGTCGACCTATCCGATAAATCTATTTTCTTGTTTTTTCAATATCGACTGCTTAAATGTATAGGTACAATAATTACTGCCGTTTTACTTGAATACATATTGAATTTTCGTATTTTTACTGAGATACGACCTTTGGCTCTTCCCTACACAGTTTTTTTTCCCGACAGTAACTCTCTCCTTTTACTACGAAATCATTCAACAATTATTTCCCTTGTTTTATTTTTCTAAATATAGTTTTCATATATATTTTAAAAATACTAAAATACACAATGACTGATTTAAACTTATATACTTTTAACATAAATGGAGTAAGATCCCATGATAAAATAAATGATCTTAAAATATTTCTTTCTTCTAGTAATATTGACGTTCTTTGTTTACAAGAAACCCATGTTGATAATTTTAATTTATCTAAATCTATTGAAAAGAGGTTAAACTTAGAGAATAAAATTCTATGGAGTTTTGGTCAAAACAACAGATGTGGTGTTGCGATTATTTTTGTGAATGCTGATATGAAACTTTGTAGTTATCAAGCAGATTTTGACGGCAGATTTATCTATGCTGACTGTCAACTAAATGATAATAAATTTCGTATTTGTAATATTTATGCACCTGTTTTAGATACAGAACGAAATGATTTCTTTGAAAGTATATTTCCAAATTTTGTTACTTCTAACAACCTATTGCTTTAACGTGATTATAATCTTATTATTGATACGAATATAGACAAAATAGGTGGTAATTCTGAACGTGGCACTTCTGGTTCTAAAATATTTTCCCAAATTATTAGTAAATTCAAACTTATAGATTCTTTTCGTTCCATTCATCCTAATAAGAGATCAGTCACGTGGTGTAATAATAATAAAAATAATCCAATAGGTTGTAGGCTCGATGGAATTTATTTACCTCGCCATTTTAAAGACTTAATACTAAAGTGTGATATTTTACCCTGTTATTTTTCAGCATGTTTTATCAATCTTGATCAGGATAAAGCTTTCGATAGGGTTTCTTGGGAATATTTATTTAATTCTTTACAGTTTTTGGTTTTAGCATTTCTTTTATAAATTGGATGAAAGTTTTATATAAAGATATTCAATAAAGTGTAATCATCACATATCTGATGCCGGCTCGCCGTATTAGGACCACCTAAAACTCCGAATCCATCCAAAAATTTAATCGAAGCTTGGCTTCAAGCTTTCAACAAAATTTATTTGTCAGGGCTGGAACCCAAAATTACTTAGCCAATCAAAATTAATCTTTCATAGCGTCAAAAAAAACCCTTCCATTTTCACGCCATTTTTAAAAAGCAGCTAGTATTGCTTGAGCGCAAAGATATAATGATGATTAAAATGTTTGTTTTCATGAATTCATATTAACACTGACTTTTGATTTAGCGATCCTGTAGTAAGTTTTCGTTTGGTTACATCTGGTCTTGTGCATTTTTTTCTTTTTCTTTTTTCCGGTCATTTTATCCTTTCCGATAGTTAGTCTATGTATTTACTGGTGGGGGGGAATCCCGGGATCAGGGATCGTATTAGATATAGAGGAAAAACTAATAAACTTTATTTCTGTTGATTATTGTCGTAATGAAAGCCCATTAAACGTTAAGTTTTTATTTTTCTTATTTTATGTTATGAACGTTAAATTAAATTAATTTAACTTAGGATACAGATATATTTAGAGCTATTTATTAACAAACTTAAAATGCGGAAATCATAATACTTTTAATTATATGCCTAAGACTATATTCTTGAATTGTAAAAATCCCGGGATCCCTTTATGTTTTAATACGATCCCAGCTTTTCTGAAAACTATATTCTTGAACTGGTCTTTTCCCGGGATCCCTACAGTATATGTTTTAATACGATCCGGGCTTATCTGAAAAACATCTTCTTAGACTGGTCAATTTCCAGGATCCCTATATTTCTTAATACGATCCAAGCTTTTCTGGCTGAATTGATTGAAAACGTGTGTTTACTTTAGGATTTGTACCTGTCACTCATTCCAATACTAAATAACATATTACAACTCAACTTCGTATAAAGAGACATCTTTATGAATTCTACCTATCTAACATTTTTTGGTCAAGGTCAACAGGCCATATGGTATATGTGCAAAGACATAGGGACTTTATTCTATCTGTTTACATGCATCTTCATATATACTAATATTCCTCTTTGTTAAACTGAGAGAACTGGCTTCCATAACTTTATATGTCACATTTATTTTGATGTTCGCCGCTAATGTGTTTTCAGCTAACAGAATTGTCATTTTTACATTTAAACACACCCCTGGAAAAAAATTACGAAGCGAGTCGCTACAAGCTCTTTTAAAAGCTAACCTTATCCCTTCTCTCTTTTATGTTCTGTTCGTCAAGGTTGTTCCCTTTCCCCTCTTCTTTATGTCCTATGTTTAGAAACTTTTGCTAAAAACATTCAAGACAATTCAAATATTAAAGGTATAATCGTTCCTGGTGGTAAGTTCGAGGTCAAGATGTCATTATATGCAGACGATAATTCAACTATACTTACAGATAATTTGTCAATGAAGGAATTTTTTCGTGAAGTTAATTTATTTCAGCAAGTTTCAGGGTCAAAAATTAATTATAAGATATCAAACGGTTTATATTTAGCTAAATGGAAAAATATGTCTGATCATCCTTTTGACATTTCTTGGTTTCAAAATTGTAAATTATTAGGGTATTTTTCGGGTATAATATTGATATAGATAAAATATGGCATGATCGTTTTCTTAAATTTTCTAGAGTGTTTAAGCTTGTTTCTACAAATTGTTATTCGTTTAAAGGTAAAAGTACTATTCTTAATTCTTTAGTTTTTTTTCAAAATTCAATTATTATATGACGGCAGATACTATTCCTGAACACTTTTATATTTTGTTTCAAAGAGCCTCTGTTATATTTATTTTTCGAACCTATTTCGAGAAAACATTGTATCTACCCTTTTAAAGATGGTGGTTTAAACTTTCCTAACATAAAATTAAGACGGTAATCCATCCTTTTAAAACATATACATGATATAGTTAATTTTAAATCTTCTCCGTGGTTTAACTTTATGACTTTTGACGTGGTTTTGACTTTATGGGCCTAACATTGAATCATTTATTTGTTTTCTTTAAGTTCCTTATCAGTTACTAATTATGTTTTCTTATGTAGTGGTTTGCCTGCCCGTGCTCTGCCTTATGCCTTGTCCTATTTTTCTTTGGGGGTCCTCCTGGGCTCCTTGCCGCTGGCGCTTGTTGTTGGGTCGGGTGGGGGCTGCGTTCATTGAACGCCGCCTTTCCTTGTCGATCTTGTTTATCATATTTTAACTTTGCAAAATACTGGATTGGGTTACATCTAAGAAAATTTAACTAATCTTTGCATGAAAATAATTTTCAACATAGTGAATCCTGACCCCTTTTTATAACATGTTTTTAAAAGCTCTTTTACATCTCACTGAAAAGATTCCAGATCTCGTCTAAAGTGTTTTTATATATTTCTGTCAGATACAGACTACTTGATTAAATGCAAAATTCTATTGCCACAACTAAAGTTTAAACATGTTTTTTTCCAAATATTTTTTTCTAATGCAATTGATTCTGCCCACAAGAATATTTGTTTAAGACTGGTTCATGACGTTGTTTTGTTTGTTTGTTTGTTTTGGGTTTTACGTCACATCGACGTGCATTATTTCAGGCACGAACGGGCACCAGAGTAGAACCACCGACGTTCCGTAAGCTAGCTGGATAGGTTCCTCACATGAAAGAATCCAAAGTCCCTGTCGGGATTCGAACCCACAGCGGTGAGGGGATGACGTTGTTTATGTTGATTACTATTTATATTGTAAACATATATCCAGGAAAAAGTCCTGTTATTTTTGTAAAAGCATTGAAACAGTTTCTCACTTATTTATTGAATGTTCCTTCTTCAAACCTCTTAACAACATAATTATATATTTACTTAACACCTTAAGTGAAAATAAAAATAAATTCAGTGAAAAGGTTTTTAGGTTTTGATTTGCCTAAAATCAATAACGATAGTAAATACACATGTTTAGTCATTCTATCAATTTCTAGATATATAATTTGGTCAATTCGCAATACTGTTAAACACCATTTGTTTAGGAATGTCCAGCTCTGGCTATTGTTTTGTTTGATGTTGATGTGATGGAAAGATCCGTGAAGTTTATAAATAGTAACAACTATGGCACGGTAAATGTGAACGATGTGGTGGAAATCCTGAAGACGTACCAAAGTGCTGTCGAGGAAGTTGATACAATTGCCCGAGGGATGGCGGATAAAGAGGTCAGTGTTGTATTTACTTCACCTAACCCAATCAATCGTCTTCTCAAAGTCAACAATAAGTCAATAAGGTTAGTCAACAATGGGAGGCAACTCGTGTATATAAGAGTTCACTGGCGTCCGGTCCATGCCTCAAATGCGGCAGTGGTAGAAGCACTTTTGAAACCTTATTGAAAGTTCTTGACGTCCCTTATGGTAATATTGACGTGGGGCAGCGAAAATTTAAGACAGGCGTTCGCCTGGTTAAAATGAAAGTCAATAAAATACACAAACAGAATATACCCCACCTGATGAAAATTTTAATGTGGCGGGAAGGCTCTTCTTTCAAATCAAGGAAGGCCACCATTAAGCCTTAATTTAGTGGAATATAAAGTTTCATTTTCGGAGTTGAGGCATACTTACCTTGTACAGAAGCTACCGTGATCAGCCAGGCGGTTATTCCAGGAGGATATCCTTCCATTGCCCTTCGGTTGGGTTGAAGCATGCGATTCACCCCTAATGTGGGTAACTTGGGTACGCATTTTTTTGTGTGGGGGTCTGCGTTCGCGCTAACCCCTGTTTAACGAGCTCGCGAAATTTAAGGCTCATTATGCCTTAGAAATGCTAGCATTTTTATATCTAAAATTTTCTGATGTTTGGTATAACGTTAAAGTGTTCTAAGTATAAATGAAAAAAAGCAAATTCTACTGATCATTGATGGCAAAATGTGCCTTTAGAATTTTTTTTCAAACAAATGCTATCCGTAATGCACTGGAACATTGTTTGTTTGTTTTGTTTGTTTGGATTTTACGGCACGTCAACACATAACTGGCCATATCGTGCCGAATGCTATTAAAGGCTTAAAATGTTATGTTAAACTTTGTTAATGGCAATAGCAATGAACCAATTAGATCATAGAATACAAGTTTATTTCTTTCAAATAATCAATTATGTTTTTTGATGGAATTGTATTAAAAAGTTCTTTGAGTGAATTTACAGAATAAAATCTATTACGGGCCTGTGAAAAACTAGAACTGCCACTATCATGGCGTGAATACCCCCGCATACCACTTTGTCAGAATCAACAGTGGCCATTTAGAGCTCAAGGACAACCTCCCTGCCAAATCTGAGGTTACTATGCCAGTGCATTGCTAAGTTATGTATTCTACATGCTTCAAAGTGAAAATGTCAAAATCAATACATTGCGGACAGGAATTCTTTAGCAATTTAGAAGAAAAGCTTCTTTTGTCTAGGTCCCTGTGACCCTAAACTTTGACCCAGTGACCTCAAAATCATTAGGGGTCACGTTATAGTCATGATCAACATCCATGCCAAATATGAAGACTGTGGGTCAAAGGAATCTTAAGTTAATGGGTGGACAAACGTTTTGAAGTCAAAGTCCCTATGACCTTGACATTTGATACAGTGACCACAAAATCAAAAGGGGTCATCTAATGATCATGATCAACATCCATGTCAAATATGAAGACTGTGGGTCAAAGGAATCTAAAGTTATTGGGCGGACAAACTTTATGAAGTCAAAATCCCTGTGACCTTGACCTTTGACCTGGTGACCTCAAAGTCAATAGGGGTCATCTACTAATCATGACTAACCTCCATGCCAAATATGAAGACTGTGGGTCAAAGGAATCTTAAGTTATTGGGCGGACAAGCTTTTTGAAGTCAAGGCCCCTGTGACCTTGAATTGGTGACCTCTAAGTCAATAGGGGACATCTACTCATCATGACTAGCCTCCATGCCAAATATGAAGACTGTGGGTCAAAGGAATCTAAAGTTATTGGGGAGACAAGCTTTTTGAAGTCAAGGCCCATGTGACCTTGACCTTTGACCTGGTGACCTCAAAGTCAATAGGGGTCATCTACTAATCATGACTTGCCTTCATGCTAAATATGAAGACTGTAGGTCAAAGGAATCTTAAGTAATTAGGCGGACAAGCTTTTTGAAGTCAAAGCCCCTGTGACCTTGACCTTTAACCTGGTGACCTCAAATTCAATGGGGGTCATCTACTAATCATGACTAACCTCCATGCCAAATATTAAGACTGTGAATCAAAGGAATCTTAATTTATTGGGCGGACAAGCTTTTTGAAGTCAAGGCCCCTGTGACCTTTGACCTGGTGACATCAAAGTCAATAGGGGTCATTTACTAATCATGGCTTGCCTCCATGCTAAATATGAAGACTGTAGGTCAAAGGAATCTTAAGTTATTGGGCGGACAAGCTTTTTGAAGTCAAAGCCCCTGTGACCTTGTTTGTTTGTTTGGATTTTACGGCACGTCAACACATAAATGGCCATATCGTGCCGAATGCTAAAATAGGCTAAAACTATTATGTAAAACGTTTTAAATAAAAATAACAAAAGAGCCAATCAAATCTTTGAATACAGGTTTATTTCTTTCAAATAATCGATGATGTTTTTTGATGGAATTGTATTAAAGAGTTCTTTGAGTGAGTTTACATTATAAAATCTGTTACGGGCCTGTGAAAAATCATGACATTCCAGAAGAAAATGCTTGACAGTAAAATTTTCATTACAGCCTACACAGAAAGGGGCATTGTCATTCATGAGGAGATAAGAATGGGTAACTTTAGTGTGTCCAATTCGGCATCGAAGAAGAACTGTTTGATCATGGCGGTTTGACAAAGACAGAGATGGTGACACATCAAGAGATGGGTTTATATCATGAAGTTTATTAAAGACGGCATTATCCCAATTTGCTTTCCATTCAGATGAAACGAGTTTATTTATAGCCGTTCTCAAATCACAAGCAGGTAACAATAAGTCAGTTTTTTGAAAATTTAAAGCTTGTTAAGCTAAAGCATCTACTTTTTCATTTCCTCGTATACCTACATGACTTGGAATCCAATATAATTTAACAGATTTTATTTTAAGTATATCGGGAAATCGCAAAAGAAGTTTCTTCATCATGATATTGTCAGATTTTTTATTTTTAATGGATATTAAAACAGAAAGCGAGTCAGAAAATATCACAAATTTATCATGGGTATGCTGTTCTATGTATGACAATGCTAAATCTATAGCTTTTGCTTCAGCAGTAAAAATTGATGCATTATCTGGTAACCTCATACTAGATGTAGAATCATTTTCATACACAGCCGCACCTACTTTGCAACCTTCCTTTGAACCGTCCGTATAAACATGTATAAAATTTTCATGTTCTTCCTTAATTGCTAGAAACTTCTCTTTGAAATGTTCATGTAAATTTGATGTCTTTTTTATATTTGAAAGGTCAATATTTATTTCAGGGGAATTATAAGTCCAAGGTGGAACATCCTCATCGTCATTTTGAAGGATACTGACAGGATTAATTTTATCTAAGTTTATCTAAGTCATCTTTTAAACGAAGGCCTAATGGTTTAAATTCCTTTGGTTTGTTAACAAATTTTTCAATATAATTTGGTTTGAAAATAATATTTTTGGCTGGATTTTTACTATTTGATGAAATTCTAGTTGCATATTGAAGTGATAGCTTTTTTCGACGAAGTTGAAGCGATGGTTCCCCAGCTTCCGCATATAGACTTTCTACAGGTGAGGTGCGAAATGCACCTAAAGCTAAGCGTAAACCCTGGTGATGTATGGTATCTAGCATTTGAAGAAATGATTTTCTTACAATTTCAGTAATGTGGAAGAATTTGATCCCCAATTTGTACTTGATAAAACCTTAAGTAAATTTAAAGATTTTAGGCATTTAGTTTTCAAATGTTAAATATGTGGTATAAAAGAAAGTTTTTTTATCAAATATAATTTTACAAACTTTGGTTCTAAAATATGTTAAGTTCAGGGTCATTTTGTTGTTTCCGCAATCGACAGAAATGAACACATTGAGTTTTTGACTTTGAAAATTTAAAACCATTTTCTATTGCCCACTTTTGGATTTTATCTAAATTTTGTTGAAGTTGCCTTTCAATTGTTCTCATACTTTTCGATCGATAGCAGATAAGAAAATCATCTACATATAGAGAACAATCTATGCCTGGTGTAAGAGCGCTAGCAATATTGTTTATTTTAAGGCAAAAAAGTGTAACAGAAAGTATGCTTCCTTGAGGAACACCTTGTTCTTGTTGGTGATCCTCGGAAAAAGTTGAACCAAGTCTTATTTTAAAGTGCCTATCGTTTAAAAATCCAGAAATGAAAAGAGGAAGTCTGCCTTTAAGTCCAGCATCCTTTAGATCTTTTAGGATACCATATTTCCAAGTAGTATCGTAAGCCTTCTCAAGATCAAAGAAAATTGATACCAGGTGTTGTTTATTTACAAAGGCTTCTCTAATAAAAGTTTCAAGTCGTACAAGATGATCGTTTGTACTTCTCTGTTTACGAAAACCTGACTGAAAATTAGTAATAATTCCATTATTTTCTAGATACCAAACTAACCGATTATTTATCATTCTCTCAAATGTTTTGCAGAGGCAACTTGTCAGTGAAATTGGGCGATAATTTGTAGGGTCAGTTGAATCTTTTCCAGGTTTAGGGATAGGAATAACGCATTTTTCCAAGTGTTAGGAAATTCACCAGAAACCCAAATTCTGTTAAAAATTTCAAGAAGCAAGTCAAGAGATTGGGGCGGTAGATGTTTAAGAAACTGGTAGTAAATTTCGTCCGGGCCTGCAGCACTGTCTTTTGCCGTTTTAATTGAATAAATTAAGTCGTCAATAGAGAAAAGGGAATTATAGTATTACTTGGGGACCATACGCCGCTTTTCATGGAATGGCACGGATGTGTCACATTGAAGGTTCCATGATAACCGCCGTATGAACACATCTGCGGATGTTTCTAAATTCAAAATTTTACCATTTCATGTTTAAATGTTGAATTCTGCTTAAGCCGGTGCTAGGGGGCGTGGACGGTAACTTGCACTTTCCAGTACCGTCCATGAACAGGCTCAATCAAACCGAGCCTGCAACATTTTCAATTTTGCCGTGTTGGGCTTTCTTTAGGGATTCTGTTTTTATCTATTTTCGTCATTTCTTGAAGTAAAATTAATATGTTCTTTCTCAGCTTGACATTTGTGTTGTTGAAATTCATTTGAATAATTGTTTGAAGAAGAGTTCTTTTCAAATGTTTTAGCCAAAGTTTCTGCAATATCCGTTTTTGTTTTGGCATATTGGCCATCACCAGTTTTTAAGTGAACAATTGGACTCTTTTTATACTTACCACTTATTTTCCGTACTGCATCCCAGACTTTCTTAATAAGAGTATTTGAATTAATATTTGAAACATATGATTGCCAGGATTGGCGTTTAGACAAACGAATTGATCTTCTAGCTTTAGCTCTAAGTATTCTATAATTTTCAAGGTTTTCTGTTGTAGGGCTTTTGCTTGTGTCCCTTGTTGTTTTCTCGTCTACGGTAAGTATCTTCCCCATTGCCTCTAGTTTTTATTTCTTTGATTACTCCCCACCCCCTCCCCCCGGTCTCCTGTCCCCTTCCCCTTTGTGGGCCTATTTTTATTTTCTTTGAATTCCTTATCAGTTACAAATTAATTATCATTTAATGATTAACCTGTCCGTGCTCTGTCCTGTTTTTGTTTGGGGTCCCCCTG